TAATTTTGTAAAAAATCTGTTTCGTTTTTTTGTAGTTTTGTGCTTTTGTACTTGGACTTATTAAACAATCGCAAACGTCCATCTTTTCAAGAAAAAATCGCTCGTCGCAAATCTGGAACAACCAAAAACAACCATTAATTTAGTTTGTACCTGCTCTCTTTCTGCTCAGAGTGCTTGGGGCCCAGCTATACCCTCCTCGGCTTCTGGATCTAGCACTTCCAATTTAATGCCACGCCCACCTGAGGGTACCGCAAGTGTCCATCTTTTCTAGAAGCAATAGCTCGTCGCAATCCTGGGACAACTAAAAAACAACCATCAATTAATTAAATTTGTACCTGCCTTTCTTCCTGCTGAGAGTTCTTGGAGCCCATCTGTACCCTCCCCGTCTTCTGGTTTAAGCACTTCCAATTTAATGCCACGCGCACCTAAGGCCTCTCCATCTAGTGCTGGCTTTGAACTACTTATCTCCCGTATTGACCAGATGATGGCAATGATGATAAAAATGATGGCGCTGCTTATGAGCCCGTTTACCGGCAGTTCGCCCTCTGATGCGTCTAAGATCAGGAGACATGTCTAATTTAGGCATTCGTTTCTCATTTTGGAATGGTCTCATTAGCAAAAAGTTTTGAGTTTGAGAACTATGTTACCGATAATTCAATTGATGTGAGGCTAATATACGAGACGCATTTCAACAGCCGCTCACATCTCAGAATTTTTGACATGATTTATTGACGGCCAATCACCCCGTCTTCAGAGGAGACATCGTAATTATTATTGTTGAACGTTGATGCACTAAGAGCAGTACAAGCAAGTGGCCCAACGAAACCAAGCACGTGTTTGTTACGCGACATACATACAAACGTATATAGAACAAATAAAGGCGGGACAAGACAAAGAGAAACGAACACTTCACCAAATGAGTATAGATTTGAAGCCCCATATTACGATTTATTATTTATTAAATCATTTATTTATTTTGCAGATGTGGAAAAAAATTACCACTTTTCCAGGGACTGAAAATTAGAGATGTTTGAGATTTTTATTTAAATAGTCATGTTTGTTTATTTAAACAAAAATAAAAACTGTGCTCTAATGTTATTAATCAAACAAAAACACCTCTTAACGAGGTAAAAAGTAGTGGCGAATTCGCTCTTAACAAAAATTTGTGATATCGACAATTGTGACAAAAAATGATATTACATTCGATAAAATAAATAAACTATATTAAAAATTTTTTGTTAAGAGCGCTTTCGCCACTACTTTTTAAGTCGTTAAGAGGTGTTTTTTAGGGCAAAAATTGTTATATATCAAAAGTTGAGGAATCTCAAGGACTATATGATTAGAAATTGAAAAAGAAATCGTTCGACTCAATTTTGAGAAAATAGTCAAAAAGTGGTTTTAAAAAAAACTTTTTGTCATAACTCGAAAATCAGAAATCAGACAACTTTATTATATGAAGGGTATTTAGAAAATTAAATTATCTTTTCAGAAATATATAGTACGTTTCTGTACCGTTAGTTGTTTAGATACTATAAGCATTTTAAATCTGGCTTTTGTTTTTAGATTTCCGCTAAACTAGCGGGTTTTTCCAAAAGTCGCAGAACAAACTTTTTCCAATTCAAGCGTCTTTATACACCCTTAGGGTTTCCAAAACCCTAAAACTAAGATGGGATGCATACAAACCCACAAACAAAGGGACAAACATTTTCATTTTGGGAAGAAGAAGAAAATCTTGTTTTTTGAATTACTTTTGAACGGGACATCGGATTTCAACAAATGATGCGTATTCTCAGTAAGAATAAAACTAGCTAAACAGCCGGCGGCTTTTATCCCCACCGTATCCAACAGCTCCAATTTTCCTAATCTTTACTTTTACACTTTCATCGCTTTTTCTCCGAAACAAATCTACATTTCGAAAGTCTTCGTATGCAATCTTCTTAGTTAGTGCGATACCTTTCGATTGGTGTATCACTCATTACGATCGGACCATAATGGCAGATTTTCAATTCTGCGGCTATATATAGTAGTTGTCTTCGCACGCTCTCTTGCGCGCTTCGCCACTACGTGTACTGCCGTCCACAGTGATACTATTGGGAATATCATTTCTTGTATTTTTAAATTTAATAATTCTAACTGCAAGGGTATACAAACTTCGGCTTGCCGAAGCTAACTTCCTTTCTTGTTTTATATACAGGGGTGGTCAAAAGTATTTTCACAAAACAAAAGTTAAATATACTCATAATTTGAACTTACTTCTTGTTAACTTTGGCATTAATGGAAAGGTAATTTAAATGCCGTTTAATTATCCCATTCATTACTTATTGAAAAGGACGAATTTGTCTAAACATCTACTTTTTAAACTTTTTGCTCGACATGAAAACTTAAATTTTTGATGCAAAAAGTTTTTTTAAACCAAAATAATTAACTAATTTGTATGAAAAAAAGAAAAATATGGCTCAAATTCATGTTTCTAAACATTTTAAAAAAATCATACAAAAATCAAATCAAAATTATGTGAAATTTTTTTTTTTATATAAGAAAAGTTGAAAATGTACGTAACGGAGTACAGCAAATTAAGTTGTTCAATTTCAAGTTCAGAAAAATCAACACAAAACAAGAAAGAACACTAAAGTCGAGTACATCGACTATCAGATACCCGTTACTCAGCTAAAGGGACCTAAGGGAGATGGAGATATGCAAGTAGCAAAGCGAGATTGTAATGAGCAACCTACCCGCGATTTCAATATATGGTTATGTGGGCGGCAGGCAGATTTAAACGTTTTGAGGTATAGTGTGGGCAAGCCAAAGTTTTTTTTGGCCAATCGATAGAAATTATCGAGACTAATACATTTCAATTACCGGTTTGTGAGCGTTAGAGTGGGCGTGGCACACTGACCTGCGCTGCGCACGAATCTCTAGAATCTGCATGCCTAGTCCCAGTATTGCAGCTTGAATAGTTTCTAAAAACACAGCGTTCATACGGACATGGCTAGATCGACTCGGTTAGGATCCTGATCAAGAATATATATAATATAAGTACAAGGCCGCTTGCAAGTCGCTGCCTGGACGCTGCCGGCGTAAGCGGGTAGCACAGCCTCGAACCACTAGACCTTAAGACACTCCCGATTGTGAACTCAAAGAATAAAAATCCAATCTGACCCGTTGGTCAGAGATGACAACTATACGACCTATTTTTGGGAAGTGATGGACACCAACTTGTGATGAGCATCTAAAAGAATTAAAATTACTGAACGGTGTATTATAAAGCGTTTTCTATAATTATAACTCATTTAAATCAGAAATGGGGGTGTAGGAAAGTTTAAGTGCAATCAGAGGACACACCACCCAATTTAAGACCTCGACGACTCTTCTCTCTTACAGATTATATGGGACTGATTTATTTTTCGAACGCTCATTAAGGCGAGCAGGTCGGATAATTATTGGAGGGCTTACAGTTATAAATTTTTAGACATTTGGGTTAAACAATATAAGAATATATTTAATTCAACATCCCGGCCCCGTTGAAGTAGAGCAAGCTTGTGAACAGGGCGATAACAGGTTCCATTGGTGGTGCGTAGCTGGACAACTCGAACTCTGTTATCGCCACCGTGTACAGGGGATTCCATTCTGCCCATTCGCCAGTGCTGAATGAGCACCATAGCACCGACAGCGACGTTTGGCGATGGGGAACCCATTGGTTTCTTGCTCAGAGTGCATTAAAGTCTATAGACCAGCGATACCAAAAGGACTGCTTTACCGCCGTGACCGCTTCGAATCGTTGCAATGTGCTGACCTTAGATTCCTTGATAATACGTTCGGTCATGAAACGCAGTGAACCTCCCGTCAAAAAGTGACTTGCTGTTAGAGCCGAGAGGTCGTTTGGATCTGATGACATGGGCGTGAGGGGGCATGAATTGAGAATTGCTTCTATCTCAACCACGACTGTTGTGAGCTCCTCGTACGTAAATTTGGTAAATTTTAAAAAGGTTCTGTTGAGTGTGCTTTTTGTGCTCTTCACTACCGCTTCGGTCACTTTCTTACTAAAATAGGTTGAATAGGTTGGCATCCTTCTAAGTTACATATACGAGGTGTGTTCAAAAAGTAAGGTGACTTTGTATTTTCAAGAAAAACTATTAATTTATTTATCAATATTAATGTTGTCCCCTTCAAAGTAATCCCCCTCAGATACAATACACTTATGCCAACGGTTTTTCCAATCCTCAAAGCACTTCCCATAAGCACTTTTCGGTAAAGCCTTGAGCTCTTCCAGCTCAATCGTTGCAAATCTCCGTCCTTTCATAGGTCCCTTTAGTTTTGGGAACAAGAAAAAGTCACATGGGGCCAAATCCGGTGAATATGGTGGCTGAGGCATTATTGTGGTGTTGTTTTTGGCCAAAAAATCTCTCACAAGCAAAGATGAGTGAGCAGGGGCATTATCGTGATGCAAAAGCCATGAATTGTTTTTCCACAATTCTGGACGTTTCTTTCGTATTGCTTCTCGCAAACGGCGCATAACTTCCAGATAATACTGTTTATTGACCGTACGACCATATGGTAAGAACTCCTGATGCACCACGCCATGGTAATCGAAGAATACAGTGATCAAAACTTTGACATTTGATCGAACTTGGCGTGCTTTTTTCGGTCTTGGCTCACCTGGGCTCTTCCATTGTGACGATTGGGCTTTGGTTTCGATATCATAACCATATACCCATGATTCGTCACCAGTTATGACCCTTTTGAGTAAATCTGGGTCGTCGTTGATGTCATCCAACAGCTCTCGTATACACATTCAGTGTTGAAAAATCCGCAAGAGACTGCCATGGGAGAGCCACAGAAAATAGTCACAAAAAAAGCCAACGATCCGAGCAGACGTGATTGCAACGAACGGCAATAACTTTAAAACTTTTAATTATATTTTATCCTAACGACAACGTAATCATGTAATTAAAGTGTATCTAAAACTATCCCTTCTCTATTTTTTTCATAATTACATTAAGTAGCCTGATGCCTGGCAATAAGTGAAATCGTGCGAATAATGAACGTATAACGGGAAAAACGAAACAACGAAAATGCCGCCTAAGAAGGATTACGTCAGAAAGAAAGAGCTACAACATAAGTGCAGAGAAGCGGGACTTTCAACGTCGGGGAATCCTCCGATGCCTCACGCACATCTGGAACAAGCGTGAGTAGTTACCGCAACTACGGTAAATACTTCCGGAACTTATTCACAGCCACACTTTTGTTTTAACCAATACAGTTTAATAACACGAGAATAAAACCCCATGTTACCATTTAAACTCAGTGTTCTCTCACTGATCTACGGGGCAGTCACGTCTTATAAATTTGGTGGGACGAACACACAATCTTCTAAACTAGCCGCGCAAATCTCGTAGCGAGCAGACCAACAAGATAATTTTGTTACAAAATATATTTTAAAGGAAGAACGCCATAGACGAATTCCTCGACTATCAGATACCCGTTACTCAGTTAAAAGGACCAAATGGAAATGGAGATATGCAGGTAGCAAAGCGATATTGAAATGCGCCACCTACCCGCGATCTCAATAAATCGTTAAGTGGGTGGAAGACAGATTTAACGCCCACATTAACGCCCACAAACCGCCCAAGCCTGTGAAGCCCACAATTTTCATGCTACATAAAAAACTGATATGTATTGGTCTCGTCAATACTTATCGATTGATCCAAAAAAAATTTGCCACGCCCACACTAACGCCCATAACGCTTAAATCTGTCTACCGCCGATTGGTCGCGTATTTCAAACTCGCTTTGCTGCTTGGATATCTCCATTTTCCTTTGGTCCAATTAGCTGAGTAACGGGTATCTGATAGCCGATAGCCACTCTAACGCCCACAAACGGCCCAAAACTGTTGCTCCTACAGTTTTGATGCTAGAATAAAAATTTTAACTGAAATGTAATGCCCACAAACCGCGAAAACCTGTGACGCCCACAATTGTTATGCTAGATAAAAAATTTTAACTGAAATTGTGAGGAGTTGAATAACTCCCCACAAATAGAAACAGCAGCAGATGGCCGGCCGCTTGCCAGATACGCGGCGAATTCGCGTAGTAACGGCGCGGCGAGGAGAGCGAGAGAGTTTGGAGACCAATGAAGGAGAGCGAGAGAGTTTGGAGACCAACAAAGGAGAGCGAGAGAGTTTGGAGACCAATGAAGGAGAGCGAGAGAGTTTGGAGACCAAGGATGGAGATCGAGAGAGAGTGGAGACTTCGCGGGCAAGGCAAGAGTGCCGTGTGCAAAAGCGGGTAACGGAACTCCACCGGACTTTGGACTCTCCCGTGAACTTTGGACCGGGAGAGGAAGTGCCACATCTCGGCGGTGGAGCGGCACACAGGCGTGCCACAAGCATCACGGGAATCAGCGGGATGGCAGCAGTGGGCGGAGCATCGATTGGAAGCGGTACGGGAACGACAAGTGGGTCATCCAGGAGGCACGGACTTTGGACCCAGAGTGGAGAGATCCAGCGGGCCGTGCGCAAGAGGGAAATAACGGTTCCCGGAGGCCCTATATAAGGCCGCAGAGCGCTGGCAGCTGGATCAGTCGATCACAAGGAGTCAAACCGTCAAGATCACTCAGATACCAAAGTGAACAATCAAACAACCAGATAATCTACAAGGGAGCAGCAGCAAGTCGAGTCGCCAGAGAAGCAGCGCCGTGGGAGCCTACAAGGAGCGAGATTGCTACGTCGAGACGTTCGGGATTGGGATACCAGGAATCTCCGAATTGAGATGCAGGTAGCTGAGATCCAGAGGGCATCACACGGCTAGGTCAAGGCGGTCGATTAACCCTGTCCACAAAGGTACGGTATTAAATTTCGATGCCATAATGGCCAGACTTGACTTTGTCTTTAGCGACAAACGTCCTATTCATATTATTGAACAGGAACTAAGTGTTTTGAGTCAGGGAAAATTATCAATTATGGATTATTATGGTACAGTTATTAGAAAGCTAACTCTACTTATTAATAAAACAATTATGACCTACGGGAGAAACAAACCGATAACAGCAGAAATGAATGAAAAACATAGGAAGACTGCTCTCAGAGTTTTCATTACCGGCCTAAACGGCCAAATTTCAGACACAATTTTCTCAATGAATCCACCTGACCTACCGAATGCAATGGTCATAGTTCAGGAATTGGAAAGCAACAACATGAGGGCGCATTTCGCAAATAGTTTCTCAACCACTCAAAGAAAAAATAGTGAGCCAAGCACTGGTGGAAATGGTCAAACACATTTCAACCAAAAGCAAAGACAACAAAACAACAATTACAATAACCAGCGAAATAGTAATAATTTAAGGTTTAATCATGACAACAACCAGAAAAAAAATAATTATGGTTATTATAATCAGAACAAAAATAATTCCTGGAACCAGGGTAGATTTAATAATAACCAACAAAATCAGTGGAACACCTATATGCAGCCACAAAATAAGCCAGAACCAATGGAGGTAGACGAATCTATCCAGGTTCAGAATAGGGCTAACAACGGCTATAATCAAAACTATAGTAAATATCAAAATAATAATTATAGCCAGAACAAGTGGGATCAAACAAAAAAATTTGAGACCCAGAACACTCAGCAAGGACAAGCCCAAAATAAAAGGGTACCAACTGGAACTGTTAACCAACCGGCTAACAAGACAATGAGACTAAACAACATTGAGGAGAACCATTTTTTAGACAAAAGTCAGGAGTAGGGTTACCCTACTTATTTAGAAATGACCCGAAAATAAATAAAAAATTAAAAATATTAATTGACACTGGGGCAACCTCGTGTTATATTAGAACTGGAGTTTACAAAAATAAGAATGAGCTTCCAATATACAAAAGAGTATCCACAGTGAATGGATATTCAATAATTAAATATTATCATATGATAACTATTTTTGATAGACGATATACTTTTTATGAAATAGAAGGGCTAGACTCAGATCTACTGATCGGCTATAACCTATTGAAAACAAGGAAGAACGCTATACCCGTTACTCAGCTAAAGAGACCAAAGGGAAATGGAGATATGCAAGCAGCAAATCGAGATTTAAATACGCCACCTACCGGCGGTAGACAGATTTAAGCGTTATGGGCGTTAGAGTGGGCGTGGCGAAATTTTTTTTGGATCAATCGATAGGTATTGACGAGACCAATACATTTCAGTTAAAATTTTTTATATAGCATGAAAACTGTGACCGTCACAGGTTTGGGCGGTTTGTGGGCGTTAGAGTGGGCGTGGCAAACTTTTTTTCGGGTCACTCGATAGGTATTGATGAGAAGAATACACTTATGTTACAATTTTTATTCTAGCATCAAAACTGTTGGAGCCACAGTTTTGGGCGGTTTGTGGGCGTAAGAGTGGGCGTGGCACATTGCTGAAACAAACTTGCGCTGCGTAAGAAGCTCAGGAATCTGCACGCCCAATCTCAATAGCCTAGCTCCCATAGTTTCCGAGATCTCAGCGTTCATCCGGACGGACAGACAGACGGACAGACGGACATGGCTAGATCGACTCGGCTAGTGATCCTGATCAAGAATATATATACTTTATGGGGTCGGAAACGCTTCCTTCTGCCTGTTACATACTTTCCGACGAATCTAGTACACCCTTTTACTCTACGAGTAACGGGTATAAAAATAGGAGCTGTGATTGATACAGCTAAGGGAGTTATTAAATATAACGGAATAGAAGAGAAATTAAATTATGACAACGGAAACAATTTAAACCAACATTCTTTAACAGAAGAAAACACCATTCTTCCATTAAAAGAATTTATATTAAAAAAATACTTTGATGAAAAGGCTCAAATCAAATCCGAATCTGAAATGGGTAATCAAAGCGAATTTAGTTTGGGATATACAAGTCCTGAACACGCCGTCGTTGAAATATCCGACAAAAATAAAAGTTTACAATTTAAAAATTCTGAACACGCCGTCGTTGAACTATCCGACAATCAAAAAAAAAACAACATAAAAATATCATCTGCAGATCAAAGAAAAGATCTGGAGAATGAAATATTAAATATTATAAATCAAGAGCATTCAAAAATAAATATGCAGATTCCTTTTAGGACAGATATACGCGGTGAAATAAACACCGTAAATGATAGGGCCATTTACAGCAAACAATACCCTTATGCTTTATCAGCTTCAGATTTTGTAAATTCTGAAATAAGTCGAATGCTAAAAGAAGAAATTATAAGGCCAAGTACAATAGAAGTCCTTATAATTCCCCTGTACTAGTGGTACCAAAAAAGGGTTTCAATGAAGATGGAACTCCAAAACTAAGACTCGTAATTGACTACAAAAAACTAAATGAAAATACTATACCTGATAGGTATCCAATGCAGGACCCTTCAGTGATTTTATCAAATCTCGGAAAAGCCAAATACTTTTCAACAATTGACTTGGAATCTGGATTTCATCAGATTCTCATGAACGAACCTGACATACAAAAAACCTCATTTTCAATAAATAATGGGAAATACGAATTCTTAAGAATGCCTTTCGGTTTGACAAACGCTCCTAGAATATTCCAACGAGCGATGGACGATTTTTTGAGAGAACAAGTGGGTAAAACATGTCATGTTTATATGGATGACATAATCATATTTTCAAAAACAATTGAGCAACATTACAAAGACCTAATTGTCATTATTAAAATTTTGCTGAACGCAAACATGAAAATTTCGATTGAAAAATCAAAGTTCTTTAAATTAGAAACAAACTTTCTCGGTTACGTTGTTTCTCACAATGTGATCAAAACCGATTCCGAAAAAATTTCAACAATTGTAAAATACCCGATCCCTAAAAATATTCGAGAGCTTAGAAGCTTCCTAGGCCTTATAGGATATTACAGAAAATTTTTGCAAAATTACGCAAAGATAGCTAAACCTTTAACAAAATATTTAGAAGGCCAAAACGGCAAAGTGTCTAAAAAAGCATCACGTAAAACTTTAATACAGTTTGATGATTCAGCTGTAAGAGCTTTTAACGAGCTCAAAGAAAATTTAATTGCACAAGTAGAACTAGTACAACCGGACTATAATAAAAAATTTACCCTAACAACTGACGCGTCTGACTTAGCAATTGGTACGGTTCTTTCTCAGGAAGGAAAACCAATCACATTTATTTCAAAAACTCTAACCAAA